ACATATAAACTGCACAAAGCCAAGCCCTGCATCTTGTGAAACTGTCAAAGAAAAGCCATCAACCTGCATAAGCCTAAACCATCAACCTGCATAAGCCTTAAAGCCTATAACCTGTGTCAAGCCTCAAGCCTTAACTGTATCAACAAACAATCAAAACCAGAGCTTCAAGCCAAAAAGCCTAAACCTGTCCAAAGCTTAAACCAACATATCAAGCCCTGTAAAACCAGTATCAAAAGCCTCTAAAAAACCAGAAGCATACAACAAGCTCAAGCATGTACCAATAAACTTCCAGCCCTGTCAAAAACAAGCAGAATACACCAAGCCTAAAAGCCAAGCTTGTCTTAAGCAAGCATTCAAATCCCAAAACCCTCAGAACTGTGTTCATCACTGGGCCAACATCAACAAACAATATTCAGAATCATACCAACAGCATATCAAGCATCTCAGCAAGCCCACAGTGGAAGAGGAAAAGAAGCAATCAAGGGCCATCATACAAGCATACAGGACAAGCATTCAAGCAGATAAGAAGAGGAAAAGAAGTGATTATACAAAGGTTCTCAGGTAATCATCATCAAACCATAAAGGACAAATACAGAGTACCAGGAAGAGCAAAGCACAGCTTCATCACGCGCCCTCGCCCTTGGCCGCCTAGAGCGCCTCCAGCTTCGTCCTCCTCCGTCTCCAACAAAGGTAGTATTTCTTCTCCCACTTTTCATGCACCTCAAATCAAAACACAAATAACAATATATAATCAGAACACGAAATATAAACATGTAAAAAATCGAAACCCTAAAGCATAAAAGAGGGATGCTTTTACCGTTTCTTGGCGCTATTGTGCTCACCCATGGAGAGAGAGGAAGTAGAGGTGGCGATCGGTGGCCATAGGCGCGAAGGATGTTGTTCAAAAAGCTTGCTTGAGAAGATGAAGAGGACAAAAGTGATGAACGGCGCCGCTCTGTAAATCAAACAAACCCTAAATGAACAAAACTCAAACAACCCTCACAAAAATGCTGTCAAACCCACTTGGGCCGGATCCCTCATAACACTGCTTAAGCCCAATCTCAAAACCCAGGCGCACCCCCTTTTTACTTATTTTGTTTTTTTTTGTTTTGGGCTAATTATAAAAAAAATCTTTTTAGGCCCATTCTATCTATTCCTTTATTTTTATTCTTTTTTATACTTATAAACTAACTTTTTTTTATCATTTTATTTTTTATAATTTAAACTAATATATGCCATTTTTGTTTATAAATAAAATAATACATTAATTTCTTTTCTTGTAAAAATCTTACTAATATTGCTTATCATACTTAATATATAAATATTAGATTTCTTTTATTATTAGGTTTAAACAATTTTTTCTTTAGAACTTTTTTCAATTAAAAAAGGGAACCTTTGTATATAAAACATAAAAACATCAATACATAATTTTCTTTAAGATTAAATACTTTTCTTTTCTTAAAATCTCTTTGTTTGTACATAATGAACAAAAATACAAAAAGAATAAATAAATACTTAATAATACATTAAGTTAACATTTCGCACTTGTAAATAATCATACACTTACACAAATATATTGATACATTTACATTGCTTTATTCTTATACATTGCTACATTTATATTGCGATTGATTCGATTTGGTTGTAAATTATTTGGACACTGCTCTCCTATCAAGCCTCATCCCCATTTGTAAATATTTGTACCCCTATCCCCGGATACTTATTTGTAATAGCGTAGACTTTAAATTCCCGCAATTTATCGCTTTCAAATATACCATGTTTAGACCTAGGGTTTGTATGTAAATAAAATCAAATGCTAGATAACCTAAACACAAAGATAAATGCATGACAATCAACACACTATTCACACTTGCACCCCTAGGGTAATCCCACTCGTTGCCTTCCAAAATGGGCCATGCTTGCACGTTGAGTATCTTTGGCAAAACAAAACGATTCAAAATGATCATAGTCCCTCGATGACGCTTTCGAAAGTTTCCTACAAAATGATCATAGTCCCTTCAAGCAAAATTGCCAAAGATACTTGGCACCATTGCATTCATGGTCCATACGATGACCCGCGCCTGTCCCGTTAACATCCTAACGCAGGATTGTCCACCAAATACAATGGTGGAACAAAACTGTTAAAAGGGTTAAAACATGAGAAAAACCTTTGAGTAAATTTAGGGGTAGACAACTCTTAGTTACTTGATCAAACTTGCAAAACACACTTGCCCACTTTTCAAAACACACTTCACAAACACAATTTCCAAACAACTTTCAAAAACAACTTTCAAAACATTTGAAACATCTTTTCGAAAAGATACACACCTTTGTAAAACATTCGAGTAAAGAATTTTTACAACAGTTGCCGAGACGAAGGCATCTTTTTCAAAACATTTTCAAACATACACACACACACACACCATTTCAAGCAATTGAAAACCAAGGCAAGTGATCTAAAACAAAGTAACTAAGAGCCCATGGATAACCATGGATGAAAAGGGTGCTAATACCTTCCCTTTTCATAATCTACCCCCCAAACCCACGAAACATCTCAAAAGGTTTTTTCTGTGCTTTTTAACCTTTCCTTTAGGATAAAATAAAATGTCGGTGGCGACTCTTGCTAAACCGAACAAGTGCGAATACAAAACGCAAAAAAACTCAAGTCAGTTCTCCCACCGTATCACACATGGAAAACTCACTCACCTCATCATGCAAGAAGTCGACACTAGTAAGTGGAAAACAAGTAGACTGGGAAGACATGGTATAATGGTATCTCACTTAATGTTCGCAGAAGACTTATTATTATTTGGGGAAGCAACAGAGAATCAAATGCAATGCGTTATGAGTACTCTTCAATGGTTATGCGTGATGTCAGGACAAGAAGTAAATGAGGAGAAGACTAGTATTATTTTTTCAAGTAATGTTTCTACGAATATGTGACATAAGCTCACACAATTATCTAACTTTTAAGGTCGTAACGACGTTAGGTAAATATATGGGAATCCCAATTAATGGAAAAGCTCTTAAGAGGCATGACTTCCAATATATCCTTGATAATATATCCACAAAGTTAGCGAGTTGAAAGGCTAATTACCTATCTTTTACGAGGCGACTTACTTTGGCGAAGAGTGCAATGGAAGTTATGCCCATTTATATGATGATGACAAGTATGATCCCAAAAGCTTGTATTGAGGAGATCCATACGCTTCAATGAAACTTTATTTGTGGGAATACACCTAAAGTTAAGAAGTATCATGGTGTCAAGTGGGATATGGTTACTAGACATAAGGAAGTAGGTGGATTAGGGCTACACAAACTCAATAAAATGAACAGGGCGTGCATTATGAAATTGGGTTGGAAATTGAAACAAAATCCAACTGATCTGTGGTGTAAAGTCATGATAGGGAAAAATGGCCATCACACCGGGCATAATATAGTTAGCTCTCAAAGGACAACTTCACATATATGGAAAGGAATTTAGGAGGTGGAAGAGTAGTTAAACGAGACAAGTTTATGGAGTATAGGTAATGGCATAAGTATTGACCCGTGGAGAGATAGGTGGCTTGCAAATGGTTTGATTATTTATGAGTTAGATGTTGCAATTCCATCGAATTTACAGGGTGTTAAGCTCTGCGATCTGGTGAATTCAAATGGAGAGTGGAATATGATGTTGCTTCAGGAATGGTTACTAAGCCATGTTCTTTGTTTGATAAGATCTCACATTCCTCTAAATGATAATTATGGTAAAGATGAATTAATGAACTATGGAACCTGTGCCAGTAAATTCTCGGTCAAATAGATTTACCTGACTATCGGTGCTAATAATGAAAGCAATACGGGAATTTTATGGAAGAATATTTGGAAACTGATGGTTCCAAAACATATTCGGTGTTTTATATGGATGATGGCTCATGATAGGCTCCTCACAAACCAGCGAAAAAGTAAAATGAGAATGGGTGGCGATACATGTCAAACTTGCAAGGAGGAGGTGGAAACAATCCTGCATGTGTTCAGGGATTGCCTGTATGCCATGCAAATCTGGTCCAATAACATTCCTTCGGGTATTACTAACGATTTTTACAGGTGAGATTGCAAGATTGGGTTAATCTCAATCTTGGATCTAACAAATGGCGTGAGTTTTGGGTGGTGGCGTGTCATAGCCTGTGGACTTGGAGGAATAAGGAATATCATGAAGATTCTCAATTCGGGTAAAGGAGTATGCTAAAGCAAGGCGTCAATAAATGATTACTACTATGGTGGATATGAATTTGGCTATGATCAGTTGGAATCCTCCTCAAGAAAACTAGGTTAAACTTAATATTGATGGTGCATGCAAAGATATATCGACTTCGGGTTGTGGTGGTATTGTTCGAGACTCAAATGGGGCGTGGTTAGGGGGTTTCTCTAATAACACAGTTTCTAGTTCTTCTTTTGTTGCAGTTATGGGGTGTGTTTGAAGGTCTAAAGTGAAAGTTAGCCATATTTTTCGAGAAATAAGTAAGTGTGCAGATGCTTTAGTTAACGAAAGATGCAAGTTACAAGATATCTATACGAGTTATTCAATTGTCCTGAATTTATTAATGCTCTGTTAGAGAATGATTATTTAGGTGTCTTTTTTCCTAAGTTGATCCAAATGTAGTCTCTTTTTTTTGGACTCCGACCCTCTTTATATGTATAAAATATACATTAAAAAATGTATGTATAATATGAAATTTAAAGGCATTTTAGAGTTTTTGCGGTGTGGTGGAGGAGCATTATTTGGGATGGAATGAGTAATGTCATTGAATTAACCCTAATTTATACAATTTAAATTAATTTATAACCTACAATTTCCTTCTCTTTATTTTAATTTCAATTTTTGTAAAATTTGCTTTGTCGTTGTTATTTTCTCTTTAATTAATTTAATTAATGAGCATAGTTTGTATATCATTAATACGGTGAAATCCAAACATTTATCTTTCTATTCATTCACAACGGTCAAATTTCAGTAGACTGAAATGAAGAGAAAAGGGGAAAGATCTAAGGCCGACGCTAAATCCTCTGTCGCACAACAACAAGAAGATGTTCAAATTGAAATTCAACAAATTAACAATAAAGATAACGAAGGTGATGAAGGAGGAGGAGGTGGATTCTTCGCTTTCTACCTCTTGACCTCTCTGAGTCCTCGTTTCAAAGGCCACACCTACATAGGGTTAGAGTTCCTCTCTCATTTCTCAAAATCTGATTTTTATCATCCCTTTTGATTCAATCCAAAATTCAACCACACCCCTTTTATTTTTTTTATGCATACAAATTCTGGGTTTATGCTATTTTGTTTGTTTGTGATGTGATGTGATAATGATTCTCTTGATGTGCCAATTCGGTAGAGGAAATTTCAATTTTTGTTCTGTTGGAAATGGTGGGTTTAAGTTCTTATTTTGTTTAATTGATTGATTTTATACTTTGCAGATTTACGGTGAACCCGCGGCGGCGGATCAGGCAACACAATGGTGAAATTGGGAGTGAAGCTTGGAGAACCAAAAGTAAGCGTCCTTGGGAGACGGTTTTGTGTATATATGGCTTCCCAACAAATGTGTCTGCTCTTCAGGTTTTAATCTGATACTACTTTCTATGGATTATGAGTTTGTCACCAAAATTGTTTCAAGTTTATTGATTGCAAAGTGTTGAAACTGGAGACCATCTGTTGGACAGAGTGTGGAAATAAACGCACAATTCTCTGAAATTCTTTTGATGAATCAGCTTTTGGGAATTAACGACTGACCGCATTTCTGCCTCGAGACTCGAAACCCTAATCGATGTACGACGTCCGATGCTCTTCTTTCAGACCTATTTCTTGCACATGAAAATAAAACAACAAAACATGCACTTCGTGCTTGATTAGTGGTTAGTCATTCATAAGATAAAATGCTCACAACACTTGATAATCTCTACACAGTCAAAGCTCGAAAGCGAAACATTCGGAACCTACCATATTCAGTGACTTTGATGTATATAAAATATTGCAAATGAAACAGGGATCTTAGGTCAAAAATTGGGGTATGACACTCCGCAGGAACCTCTTTGTAAAAAATATGTATATTTTGGCTATAAAAATGTTGTATAAAAATAGATGGTGGAGGTGAGAAAAGAAATATATTTTTTATAATTTTTGCACCCGTCGCGGTTGCGAACCTTTAGTGCCTACGTACCACCTTCCGTGCAATAAGGGATCAGGGTACACGTAGTTCCTCTTTAAAAATTTTAAAACAAAATTATGTTGGTTAATTTCATGAGATAAGACATTATTTATTGTCATTGTCCGTGTGGAAAAACATACTTACTACCCACAATCATGAGAAAGGAGAATTTACATCATCTCAAAGTGGAGGAAATGGCTTAGATTTTAAAATCAACAATGCCTCACTTAACACCCAAGTGGAAAATATCTCACTTCACTACATATTGTAGAAGTATAATTGTTTGCATCACTACAAGGATTGACAAGAGTCTAATCTTTTGAGAAAAGTTTTAAGATAAAAGCCAAAGTGGCAAAAATGATTTGAAATGAGATTGATTGATTTTTAGTCTTCTCACAAAAAGGTCAAGGTATTATTAGATTGATTAGGGTTTATTTATGAAAGTGTTTTGAAAATGCACGGACCTAAGTCCTAGTTTATTATGAAAGTGGTTCAAGTTAAAAAAACAAGAAGAGTTTTCAAAAGGAGGAAGAAGATTTCTGAAATTAAAGAAGATGGGAGGAGAGGAAAAGACTATCCTAAAGCATAAGGTAAAAGCTAGGGATAAGAACCATCTAACCAACAAGAAGCCAATACTTGACATTATGAGCCAAAATAGAATTCTTATTCTTTGTATTAAAGCCAAGCAAGCAAAGATACTAGACCTCTTGTAAGAAGCAAACTTCAAGTGTATTAAGCCTTCACAAAAATTGGGCAGAGTAACGGCTGTATACGGGTGAATCCCAGATTACAAACAAAGAGTGTAATCACAATAACCTGCATACAAAACAAACAAACAACCCAATGTCTTGAGGTAAACCTCAAGAGCTCCAAACAAAATATCAATTAAGGTCACAAGGTCTCCAACATAGGCCAAGGTTTCTAATCCTAAGTCCAAAAAGTCTAATGCTCCACAATGCCAATGATAGTAACCAAATAGTTCAAGCTTCATTAAGGATTTTATGGTCCATATTGATTATTAAGTATCTTAAGAAAAGAAAAGAAAAGCTCAAGTGAGAAAAATAAAAATGACAAGAAAGTAAATGCTCAAATGAGCAAAGATGAAAATGACATTGAATGTAAATGCTAAAAGTAAATAGTGCATAAAAGTAAAAGAGCATATAATAAAAATACAAGATAAAGTCAATTATTAATGATTAGTGGTTAGTTGAATGATTATCTTGAAACTTGCATTTGGAACTTGTTATAGGATTGGTAGAACCAAAGCCTCCACACAACAAGTTGTATTTGCTTTTTGTCAAGTATATCATCCATTTGGAATCCTCATAAGTACCATTTAATGATCAACGATGTTTAAGTGATCCGCGTTGATCAAAAGTGTTGTAGATCTATTAGAGGATTGGTATAACCAAAGCCTCCACACAATGAATCTCAAGGTTATTGGATCAAAGAGATCAAATTAACATACTTGGGCTTGCAAACATAAGTTTGGGCCACGAATGATCATTTATTCGAATCGGGACAAAATTTAGCGTTATGTTAAGCAATCGTAAGTGGACTTATATAGAAGTCACACCTATTTTGAGGCCGGTCAATAGCAATCTATGCACCATTTATTTTGAGACATGATATAGGGATCATGCTCCAATAATAATTAGTGCAATGAGAAGGGGATGAGATGAAATGGGGTGGGAGAGAAAATATAAACCACTTTTGAATTAAATTTAATCAAACTATTATTAAAATCATTCATCCATTTTTGTGGAGTTAAACTCAACACCATGGATCCAATGATGTTAATAAAGCTCATGATAAAAAATTTAACCCAAGATCAACCAGAAAATAATCATAAAATAATATTGCATTTAATATATACATTAAAAAAGGTTTAAAAATAAAAATAAAGAGAAAAAATATCAACTATATTCCAATTAATCAAGAAATAAAAAGTAAGACCATAGAAAAATTAGAAAATGGCTCAAATGATTTTATAAATTTTTTGGTAATTTTTAAAAGTCATAAACTATTTTTAAAATTAAAAGAAATGAGTAAAATAAACCAAAAATGATAAAAAATAGCAAAGTCAGAAACAAAAATAAAATAAGGTCACCAATATTTGTCACAATATCATTGGATCATTCCATAATTTTTTTCAGAATTTAAAAATGCATAAAAATATTTTTAAACATTTAAAACAATTCAAATAAAGTGAAAATTTATAAAAAAATACCAAAACACAAAATTAAATTGTAAACAAATAAAAATTAGAAATAGAATGATTAAAAGTATTTTCCATAATTTTTTTCAGATTTTTTGGACTTTAAATGAATTTTCTATGATTTTTTGAAGTTTAAAACAATTAAATATAAAAAAATCAGAAAAGAAAAGAAAAGTAAAAAATATGTGGACCATTGGATGAGAGTCAAAACACGTTAGTAATCAAATCCAAGGAATCTGGCACGCTGTGCATATCATGGTCATTGGTGAATAAAGCACTGAATCAATTATTAAATCAGAATTCAAAAATAACAAGCGGTGCGCCATCATTGGTTGGAAGATGACACGTTGGTCATCTTCAACCTCCAGCCAACTTGAATTGCATGTCTCTCAAACTATAAAATCAGAAGCTCGGACCTATGACATTCGCTTCGTCTCTTCAAGACGAAGACAACCGCACCTTCGCGATAAATTTATATAAACTGTAGCTCAAGCAATTTGGAAGGAAAATTTTGAAAAGGGATTTGAAATTTCATGGTCAAAACGTGTTTCCAGTTGAAAACAAGTGTTGCAACTAGAACCAGGGCAATGGGAGCATCACAATGATATTAAAGTTTTGAAGAATTGGTGAAGGAATCTACCTATTGAAGTTGAGTTGCAGAGCTCTGAAACTGGACTTATATGGAGCAATATAGGGCACAATTCTTGAATGTAATTATATGGTTAACTTCAGGGAAGATCAAGGAAGGTGAATTGATAGATAAATTGGATTAAAAAAGACTTGGGAATAGATTTCAAAGTTACTGAATTCTGATTTATGGAACAATTTGGCAGGGTGATTCTAGATATCCAAGCTTGAGGAGATGAATGGGGAATGACCCTCTATTTATAGGGAATCAAATGGAATGTCCAAGCGTGTGAAATGATGAAGTTTGGAGGGAAATCGTGTGAAGTTGCAAACAAGAAAAGTGTGACTTCCAATTTGATCAAAACTCATCCAAAACACGCGTTTTGCTATGCTAATCACTTCTGGAACTTCATTAAACAAGTTTAGAGGCATAAACGTGCACAAACAAAGTGTTTAAAAGCCAAATCAAGGATTTCAAACTTCTGACTTGGTGAAAAATTCAGTTTCAAAGTGCCAACTTCTGACCAATGGCATTCTCAGCTTAAGGGGTCTTAGGGCATGATTCTTGATGTTTTAGAAAGATGAGGTTACAAGCTTTGCAATGGAAAAAGAATGGAATCAAATGGATGTTTGAGCTGAAAGTTGTGTCGAGTCAAAGTTGGAAAAATGTTGACTTTCCATACTTAGAAATCTTTCAAATTTTTTCTTCAAAAGTGACCTATAATGTTTTGCATCCAAACATAGCCTTCCACTTGAAATTTGCTCTTGACCAAAAAAGATGGCATTAAGTATATCTCTTGAATAACATTTTGGGACTTGAACCATCCAAAGTCTCCGAAAATTGAGAGAGTTATGAATTGTTAAAGTTGGAAAAAACAAATCATGAAATGACCTATAATCTTTTGTATCCTTAGGGCATCTTCCATCCATTTTCTCTCTTTTCATATAAAAGAAGGAATAAAGTTCACATCCTCAAAATCATTATGGAAAAAGAGTGGGATCAAGGTGATAAAAATTGACCAAGTTATGATCATTTGAAGTTACACATGAGAAATTGGGGGCTCATCTAGAGGACTTGTGATCTTTCTTCATCATCAAGCTTCTTCCACATGAAAACTCCTTGGAACTTTTGAAGTGATTTGTTGATAAACCTTTTAAGAGAAGGATGTTTTTGGAATCACTCAAAAATACCAAAAGATGAGCAAGATATGCTTCTTTGAAGTTCAAAACCCTAGCTCCTAGATCAAGAAACATGCCTTGAGGAACTTTGATAATTTTGAACAAACTTCTTGTACCAACATTCTTTCTTTGTAAATAAAAGTTGTTGAGGATGATAATGAGAACTCATAGCCATCAAAACCACTTCCATATCTTGAGAATTGAGAGGAATATACACTTGTGACCAATGGGAACAAAGCCTTGTCCAAGCAAGCCAACTTCTCCAATCAACCCCTTGTATTTTTGAACCAAATTTGATAATATTTAAATCTGGTGAACCAAAATAACCTTGCCATGCCATTTCCTCCAAAACAAATCCAATGGTGAGGTTTGAACTTCTCAAGCTTTATTGACTAGGGCATGGAAATAAACTCATGAACCCATGGAGCAACTTGCTGAGTCTCATTGCCTTTACCTACATTATTAGAAAGACAAAACAACATTGCACTTTATTAATTAAAAGGAAAGTCAAAACAAAACATGCATGATCACAAAAGAAAAACAAGTCAAGGTGCTTGGTGATTCCTCAAAGAGCAAAGTTAAATATAGGGAGGGGAACCAAGAATTATAATGTGATCTTGTTATGATGGAATCAACATGGTATGATGAAGGGATCTTAGGGGGGAAAATTGGGGTACAATACATAGTGTAAACACAAGTTCTAAAGTTTGCAAAATGGGTGTGGGAATATCTTGGTATTCTCGCAACACATAACCAAACTGACATTTGTTTAATTTCGAAAGTTAAAGTTCCCCAAATGATGGCTCAGTCTCGACCTGTATCTCTGTGTAATACCATATATAAGGTTGTGAGTAGAGTGGTAATTAACAGATTGAATGGTTACACAACAACATTGGTATCTCCTAATCAATCTGATTTCATCCCTGGGAGAATGATACATGACAATATCATCATTGCAAATGAGGTTCTTCACAGTATGAAAAAAATGAAGGGAAAGAAAGGAGGTTTTGTGATCAAATTTGATCTATCCAAAGCATATGATACGCTTAGCTGGGATTTCATCTAACATACGCTTAAGGAAATAAAATTTCCAAATAAACTCATTAATATCATTATGCATGTCATGACCAGCATAGATTCGAATGTCGATTGGAATGGCACTAGGACTGAGTTTTTCTGTTCGCAACATGGAATTCGTCAAGGGGATCCCATATCGCCGTATATTTTTGTATTATGCATAGAAAACTCACTCACCTCATCATGCAAGAAGTCGATACTGGTAAGTGGAAAACAAATAGACTGGGAATACATGATATAATGGTATCCCACTTAATGTTCGCAGACGAATTATTATTATTTGGGGAAGCGACGGAGAATCAAATGCAGTGAGTTATAAGTACTCTTCAACGGTTCTACGCGATGTCAGGCCAAGAAGTAAATGAGGAGAAGACTAGTATTGTTTTTTCAAGTAATGTTTCTACGAATATGCGACATAAGCTCACACAATTATCTAACTTTAAGGTCGTAACAACGTTAGGTAAATATCTGGGAATCCCAATTAATGGAAAAGCTCTTAAGAGGCATGACTTCCAATACATCCTTGATAATATATCCGCAAAGTTAGAGAGTTGGAAGGCTAATTACCTATCTTTTACAAGGCGAGTTACTTTGGTGAAGAGTGTAATGGAAGTTATGCCCATTTATACGATAATGACAAGTATGATCCCAAAAGCTTGTATTGAGGATATCTATACGCTTTAACGAAACTTTATTTATTGGGATACACCTAAAGTTAAGAAGTATCATGGTATCAAGTGGGATATGGTTAATAGACATAAGGAAGTAAGAGGATTAGGGCTACACAAACTCGATAAAATGAACAGGGCATGCATTAAGAAATTGGGTTGGAAACTGAAACAAAATCCAACTGGTCTGCGGTGTAAAGTCATGATAGGGAAAAATGGCCATCACACCGGGCATAATATAGTTAGCTCTCAAAGGACAACTTCACATATATGGAAAGGAATTCAAGAGGTGGAAGAGCAATTAAACGAGATAGGTTTATGGAGTATAGGTAATGGCATAAGTATTGACCCGTGGAGAGATAGGTGGCTTGCTAATGGTTTGATTATTTATGAGTTAGATGTTGCAATTCCATCGAATTTGCTGAGTGTTAAGCTCTGCGATCTGGTGAATTCAAATGGAGAGTGGAATATGATGTTGCTTCAGGAATGGTTACTAAGCCATTTTCTGTGTTTGATAAGATCTCACATGCCTCCAAATGATGATTATGGTAAAGATGAATTCATGAACTATGGAACCTGTGCCGGTAAGTTCTCGGTCAAATAGATTTACCTGACTATCTGTGCTAGTAATGAAAGTAATACGGGAATTTTATGGAAGAATATTTGGAAACTGATGGTTCCGGGACATATTCGGTGTTTTATATGGATGCTGGCTCATGATAGGCTCCTCACAAACCAGCGAAAAAGTAAAATGGGAATGGGTGGTGATACGTGTCAAACTTGCGAGGAGGAGGTGGAAACAATCTTGCATGTGTTCAGGGATTGCATGTATGCCATGCAAATCTGGTCCAATAACATTCCTTCGGGTATTACTAACGATTTTTTACAGGTAGGATTGCAAGATTGGGTCAATCTCAATCTTGGATCTAACAAATGGCGTGAGTTTTGGGCGATGGTGTGTCATAGCCTATGGACTTGGAGGAATGAGGAATATCAAGAAGATTCTCAATTCAGGTAAAGGAGTATGCTAAAGCAAGGCGTCAACAAACAATTACTATTATGGTGGATAGAAATTTGGCTATGATCAGTTGGAATCCTCCTCAAGGAAACTACGTTAAACTTAATATTGATGGTGCATGCAAAGATATATCGACTTCGGGTTGTGGTGGTATTGTTCGAGACTCAAATGGGGCGTGTTTAGGGGGTTTCGCTAATAACACGGGTTCTAGTTCTGCTTTTGTTGCGGGGGTGTGTTTGAAGGTCTAAAATATACGCTTCAGTTAGGGAGAAGGAACGTGGAGCTGCTTAATGTTGATTCTGTAGCGGTGATCGATGTTATTAGCAAAGGTGCGTCAAGAAATTATGAAGGCCATGCGTTGTTACGACAAATTACTAGGTTAATTGGGTTGCATGAGGATGTGAAAGTTAGTCACATTTTTCGAGAAACAAATAAGTGTGCAGATGCTTTAGTTAACGAAGGATGCAAGTTACAAGATATCTATACGAGTTATTTAGTTGCTCTTGATTTTATTAGTGCTCTGTTAGAGAATGATTATGTAGGTGTCTCTTTTCTTAATTGATCCATATGTAATCTCCTCTTTTTCGAAGTTCGACCCTCTTATATATATATATATATATATATATATATATATATATATATATATATATATATATATATATATATATATATATATATATATATATATATATATATATATATATATATATATATTATATTCAACAATGTATGTATAATATGAAATTTAAAGGCATTTTAGAATTTTCGCGGTGTGGTGGAGGAGCATTATTTGGGATGGAATGAGTAATGTCATTGAATTAACCCTAATTTATACAAATTAAATTAATTTATAACCTACAATTTCGTTCTCTATTTTAATTTCAATTTTTGTAAAATTTGCTTTGTCGTTGTTATTTTCTCTTTAATTAATTTAATTAACGAGCATAGTTTGTATATCATCATCAATACGGTGAAATCCAAACATTTATCTTTCTATTCATTCACAACGGTCAAATTTCAGTAGACTGAGATGAAGAGAAAAGGGGCAAGATCAAAGGCCGACGCTAAATCCTCTGTCGCACAACAACAAGAAGATGTTCAAATTGAACAAATTAACAATAACGATAACGAAGGTGATGAAGGAGGAGGAGGAGGAGGAGGAGGATTCTTCGCTTGCTACCTCTTGACCTCTCTGAGTCCTCGTTTCAAAGGCCACACCTACATAGGGTTAGAGTTCCTCTCTCATTTCTCAAAATCTGATTTTTATCATCCCTTTTGATTCAATCCAAAATTCAACCACACCCCTTTTATTTTTTTATGCATACAAATTCTGGGTTTATGCTATTTTGTTTGTTTGTGATGTGATGTGATAATGATTCTCTTGATGTGCCAATTCGGTAGAGGAAATTTCAATTTTTGTTCTGTTGGAAATGGTGGGTTTAAGTTCTTATTTTGTTTAATTGATTGATTTTATGTTTTGCAGATTTACGGTGAATCCGCGGCGGCGGATCAGGCAACACAATGGTGAAATTGGGAGTGGAGCTTGGAGAACCAAAAGTAAGCGTCCTTGGGAGATGGTTTTGTGTATATATGGCTTCCCAACAAATGTGTCTGCTCTTCAGGTTTTAATCTGATACTGCTTTCTATGGATTATGAGTTTGTCACCAAAATTGTTTCAAGTTTATTGATTGCAGAGAAATCATATTGTGATATTTATAATGATAAATTTGAAGATATTGTTTTCATGGGGTTGCTTTGATATTGAAATGCAGTTTGAATGGGCTTGGCAGCACCCTATTGAATCATTGGCTGTAAGAAAAGCAGCTGTTGAATTTAAATCCCTCTCAGGAGTTGCCAATAAGATCAAACTTGCATACACAATGCTTACCCTTCCTTCCTGGGAGAGGTATGTATCGTCTCTATCGCTATTGACTTGTTGAGTAAGAAATGTACATTTCGAACTAGCACAAACACTGACACAGACACAATACTAATGTGTAACGTGGTAATAGCTTAAAAAAATACAAGTGATTGAATGTAATTGCGTCTCGGTGTCACACACTGGACACGCCTTTAATTTGAAATGTTTGTGCTACATGTGTACATTCTTTTTTTCTGGAGCAGGTGTGATATAGTTTTAGATACTGACATGATATTAATGATCACAGCATGGATATGACAGTGAACTTCTTCTCCACCAAATATATGAAACATTGCGCTGGTTGCCCAAACTTGCCGCAGCACATGACAGTTGAGATTGGCTCAATGGATGAACTTCCGTGTTATACTGAAAGAATCGACGGTTTGTTAGAGAATGAAGATGATAGTACCAATGAAGTGGAATTTGATGATAACAATGTTAGCACAAGCGCTTCTGTTCCAGATGCAATTGATGATTCTATAACTCCTGATTCGCCAAAAAATCCAAGTCACGGGGACAACATTGGTGAACCATTTGGGTGGAACAAAGAATCTGAAGCGACAGAACTACCGGGTCATTCGTTTACTCCATTTGAGTGTAACAAAGAATCCGAAGCGACAGAACTCCCAGGCCATTCGTTCACTCCATTTGAGTGGAACAAAGAATCTGAAGCGACAGAACTCCCAGGTCATTCGCTCTCTTCACGAGAGCATAGTGAACCATTTGATTCAATCTCATCGCCGAAGGAAAAAGCATCATCGGCAACTTTGTCCAAAAGAGGAGTGATTGAGGAAACAAATTTCATAAGTTCAACGAAAAAGACTAATGCTGAGTCAAGTAAAACAGATTCTGAACAACTAGGTGCATTCTTTGTGCCCCATCAAGCTGATATAATTGATCTGTCCACGCCTTCTCCTAGATGTAGAAACGATATAGATAGGAAGAAGAGAAGAGTTTCGTCCACAGTTAGTTCGGAGTTTATTGACTTAACAATGTCCCCTAACTTCATCCAACTGTGATTTGTATGGAACCATATCTGTTTGGAGATGTCAATTCTTTAAATAGATCTCGAGATCTAGCCTGCCGCGGGATCCGGATGGCGTGTGCCCTATTGCCATTCTCTGATGGCATATAGAATATATCATTGGTATTGAATGTTGTAAGAGTGATGAATAATAAAACCTGAGCAAATAAGTTGTTGTTTCTTTCTGCAAGGTTGAACAAATAAGTTGATGTTTCTTTCTGCACAGTTGTTTTTGCTATTTTTAATTTAAATATGCAATCTTTTTCATCCTCATATATTTTCAGTTTTGTTTATGCTAAGAACATAATGCGTCTTTTTCATTATAGTCTTCTATAAAATTGGACTAAAAAATTATTCAGTATGTTACTCTAATTTTCGTGACAAATATATACCTCGGTACTCTCTGGTGATCTAGTTTCATCGCATGAAAGATTAATTGTTTGTTTGAATAAGACAATGTTGAGATAATGTAATTTTTTGAGGTAATTAAAAAAAAATTTCTACCAATTTTAGTGTTTTGATGAAATTTTTTAAAGTGGTGCAATTTTATAGTGCTAATTGTGATTAAAGCTGATCAAGGTACAATTCCGGGAGAAAACTGAAACGAATCGAATTGAACCATAATAAAAGATCATTTGAACGGATCAAACCGTTTTAATTTATCTACAATCGAACCGAATCAAAATTATTGGTTTGGTATACCAGTTCGGAATTCCAAACTGCACTAAACCTTTAGAAAATAGATTTTTTTCAAACCAAATTGTTGTAATGTGCCTTAAAACTTTTGTTGATGAAGAGAAAGAAAACATTTTTGAAGATTGCATATACCGCAAAAATCAGAAATTTTAAAAAGTCGAAAAATCAGAAATCGGAAAAAACTGTATGATCATACGGACGGTGAATAGTTAAAGCGTATGGACAGTGAATAGTGAATCGTACGAACGATGAATAGTGAACCGTAGAGACAGTGGATAGTGAACCGTACAGACAGTGAATAGTTATTTCAGGTTTTTCGGACTTTTTCATGTGTGATTGAATTGTGATTTTGGGCTTTAGTTGTTGGGTATTTGCTATTATAAATATGTATCTCTTACATGTTTGCAGGTGAAACAATCTTAGAGCTTAAAGCAATAAGGGAGAGCAAGGGTTTAAAGGTATAACATAGGGTTTGTAGTTATCTAAAGGAATTGGGAAACACTTGTTTACACTTTGGGTTTGAGTTATTCATATATTGAAGGTTGAAGAGGTTAGAAAACACTTGGGTAGAAAATACAGTTGTTCTTGGGCGCTTTCAGGGTTGTTCTTGTGAACCTGAAAGCGAAGACTATTTTCTTGTAATTCATATGCAATATCTTGTAACAACTTTCTGAGTATAGTGAATTGGAGAGTTGCTCTCTCTCCCAGAGTAGATTGTTTGATCAAACTGGGTAAACAAACCTTTGTCTTTTTCTCGCCTTATTATGTTATATTATCTGTGTACGAATTATTATTGTTTTAGACCATTTATTTTTATTGCTATTATTCTTTACCTCACATATTGATATTGAATTTTTTCGTAATTCACAACAAAATTCACAACACATATATTTGTTAAAGAATCAAACCATTTTTAAAAAAAAAAAATTTACTAAAAAGTTTTAAACTTGTTTTTAGTATTTTCATTTTTAGTTTCAATTTGTTTTTAGTTTTTGATTTGGTTCGTTTATCATTTGGTTCGATTCTAAAATTGTTTGTGCAACATGGTTCGGTTTACTAACTAAACATAATAATTTAGACATTTTAACTTCAATTCGGTTTAGTTCAGCAATTCGACTCAACAGTTTGTGGTTCAACAGTTCAGTTCAATAGTTCGGTTCAGTTCACTACTACGGAAAATCCATTTAACAACGATTGAATGCGACACTTACAATCACAGTCCAGTAACCGTTGTGGTAAAATGTCTATCACAAAGGTTGATGTAAACAATCGTTGTAATAATTATAGTGACATGGTTCAATACCCAGCTACAACTAAAATTGAAGCGCATAAAAATAACATTTCACCACGGTTTAACGTTCCAACCGTTGTGGTATATGTAAGAGTTTATTATAAAATATGAGATTGCTTGTTTTCCCTGCCCCCCATTAATCATATACAACCATTCAAATAGATTTTTGTGACAATAATAAAAAAAAATTAAGTTATTCTTGAAAGACAACTTAAAAGATCCAATATTTTTTAATTGCAAGCATCCTGTAAATCATGATTTTCTCTTTTAGCCTATAGAATTTGATTCAATCCCAAATTCTTCAAAGTAACAATAAATAGATGTCAGTCTGAATCTTTCTCATAAAATTTGATTTCCTCTTCTTTTCTACTTTATTTTTCAAACATCAAGTTTTATGTGAAAGATCCAGACTGACATCCATTTATGAACATTGTTTTGAAGAATTTGTGATATTTAATTAAATTTTATATGCTAAATAAGGAATTATGATTTACAAGATGTATGCAATTCGAAAAAACATAGGATCATCTAGGTTGATTTTCAAGAATAACTTAATTTTTTAAATTATTATCTTAAAACTCTTTTTAAATGAGTGCAAGTTCAATGAGGGGTTAGTGAAACAAGTAATCTCATATGATATAACAATTTCACTAACAACATTTATCAACAAAAACATCAAATTAATTTACATGGATGGAGAGAAATAAACAACAAACTATTTCTTGAAGCTTTAAGTGAGAAGTAAAGAACCATAAACACTTGCTAGTTGCACATGCAAAACCATCTATCGAATCATAATGTAAGCTTGCTACCACCATCATCATCACCGTATTAGGTTCATATAGTTTTTAAAGCCATGAAGACAAAATATAAGGTAGATGAAGTTAACACAATAGCTCCATACTTCTTATATTTCTTTTCATAGCTTCTAAAACTAGATGAAGTTTGCTGATGTTGTTGTTTCTTCATTCACTTTTCTTGAGTCCTACAAACACCATGAAAATTATCAACATGTGAAACTGAAAACTTATTTGTCAACAACACAACATGCAAAAACAACATAGAACAACATACAACAATAAAAGAGTCATAAACTATCTAACAAGAAGAAATTCATAGGAAAACTAAGTGAAACATAACAACAACATACACGAAAACGAGAGAATAAGGAAAAATAAGAGTACCTTTATGTAAGAAGAACAAGATTGACGGCTATATTGTAGAATAAGAATGATAATGATGAAGAAGAAGAGAGAAAAATGGGTTCTAGGATTTTGCTGCGATATATATAGCGCTATTGTGAAAGAGTGAGAGTTAATTGCTTATATATAAATATACTCACAACGGTTGAAGTTTACAATTATGGTCGTAACTCTTCATCAATGTAACCATTTAAAAAAGAACTTTTAATATCCATCTGATAAAGAGTGATGCAATTATTTACAGCAAATGAAATTAAAAGTTTGATAGATTTTAACCTGGAGACTGGAGCAAAAGTTTCAGTATAGTCTATCCATTCTTGCTGACTATAACCTTGTGCCACCAGTCATGCTTTGTTTCTGACTACTTCTCCTTATTCATTTAGCTTATTTATAAAGACCCATTTGGTTCTAATGATGTTGAACCCTTTTGGTTTAAGAACCAGATCCCACATATCGTTTCTGGTGAATTGATTTAGTTCTTCCTGCATTGCAAGGATCTGGTCATTGTCTAGAAGAGCTTCATCAATGGAGGTTGGCTCTATTAGAGATACTAATCCCATGAATGATTCTTCAGAATTTATGAATGCAGATCTTATTCTGATTGGGTCATCTTTCTTTCCCAGAATCATGTCCTCTGGATGGGCTAAGCTACTTCTAGATTGTCTCTTCTAGATGGGGTCTTCAGAAGTTGTTATGATGTTTGTGACATCTTCTTATGTATTTGGCCGAGATTCTTTATTAGTAATTTCTGACGATCTTTCTTCAGTACCAATAGTTCCAGAGCCAATAATCTTTTCTTTCTGATTGCCTCCAAAACCTAAATAGCCTATAGATTTAAGCTCCATACTTTGGCACATTTGCTTTCTTCCCGTCATGTGTCAAGAGCATCCAGAGTCCAGGTACCAAGATTGGTGTTTCAACTTTGTTGTTAAAGACATCTGCAACATAGACGATTTTATCCTTAGGTACCCATATCTTTTTGGGTCCTTGTTTGTTAGAGTTTCTAAAATTCTATTTGAATTTTGGTTTTGCAGAAAAGGCATTACTAATATATTTTATATCATGTGTATGTCCATATGTAAAGTATGAATAGAGAGGTGTGTATTTTATAACTATGTAATCAACTTTCTTTGGTTGATATGTTTCTTCATATCCTATACATTTTCTGACGTTTCTGCTAACTCCGTAGATCATTGAAGCCATCTTGCTCCTATCTATGTTTTTAGCTAGAAATTTTTGAAAGTTATGATCATATTCTTTTATGATTTTATCAGAACTATTCGAAACTTATGAAACAATTTCTTTCTGAGTTTTTTGTAATTCATTTTTAATAACATAGTTTTCATTTTTAAGTTTGGAAATGGTTTCTTTTGCTCATAGTTTTCTGCTTTTTGTTTCTTAGTTTCTTCAGAGTCAGATACTAGATCCTTTTTCAGGTTCTTGTTTGTGACTCGCAGTTGCTGATATTTTTCAAGAGTTTCTGATAGACTTTATTCTAATTGAGATCTAGAAAAGTTAGAGAATACCTCTTCTGCCTCTGAGTCTAAATCTGATTAAGATGATCCAGTGTCATCATCAATGGTTGCCATTACGGCTATATTGGCTCGTTCATCTTCTGATTTTGTTTCAGCTTCAGAAGATTCCGAGTCATCCCATATTTCCATAAGATTTTTCTTATTTTCTTTAGAGAATTTATTTTTAGGCTTTTCCTTATATAGATTTGGGTAGTCGCTTTTATAGTGACTTGGTTCGTTGCATTCGTATGATACAATGTCTTTGTTGCTAGATTTTCTGTATCTAGAAGAT